GCTGCGATCAGCGGCATCCAACGTTTCACCATGAAAGGGGGAGGGACCCCCCGAAACGGCGTGGATTGGGACGACGACTCCCATTATTACGTGGACCCAGACGTACGAATCTGGATCCCAGTCGACCTACAGCAGCGGATTTGTGTGATCGCTCACCAAGGAGCCAGTGGTCACCGTCGCATCGCAGCGACGACCAAGTCGGCGTCCGACAAGTTTGTGTGGAAGACGCTTTTCACGGGCGTCGAAGCGTTCGTGCGTGCCTGTTTGCACTGCCTGTGCATTGACGGAGAAATGGTTCCCCGTCCATTGGGTTCGGCGCTTCACGCAGAGAAGCCGAACGAGCTTATCCATTTCGACTGGTTGTCGATGCCCATCGCCAAGTCTGGCCAAACACAAGTGCTTGTCGTGAAGGACGACATGAGTGGCTTTGTACAGCTGCTCGCGGAAGAGTCCGCTGACGCCGCCGCGACCACTCAGTTCCTGATGACGTGGTTTACCACGTTCGGCTGCGTTGACACATGGGTGTCAGATGGCGGTTCTCACTTCAAGAACGAAGTGATCGAGAAGGTGCGGAAGTTGGTGGGTGCCCACCATCATATCACGACAGCCTACAGTCCTTGGGCGAACGGGACTGTGGAAGTAGTCAACCGACTAGTGCTGCGCGCCGTAAAGGCGCTCCTCAGCGAAATGAAGCTGAACGCGGGCGAATGACGAAAAGAACAGGCGGAACAGCGGGAAGCGTGGAAGCGCGAGCAGGCTGATCAGCGTCGTCGTGAGGACGAACAACGCAGTCACTACCTATTGGATCGTGAAGATCGGGAGCGAGAAGCTCGCAAACGTGAGCAGCAGCATGAAGCTCTAATGATGTCGTTCATGGCCAAGTTTTTAGGAAACTCAAACTAAATTTGATAACAATTGTTGTCATTAACTATTTTGGTTCAAATAGAAAAATCAAAACAAAATTTGGAAACAATTGTTGTCATCAATTATTTGGTTGAAATACAGAGCGAATTTGGCTTATACCCGTGGAGCGAACTCGGTAGTTGTACAAGCGGTAGATCGTGCTTAGTCGTCGGGCACGAACAGTTGGACTGTAAGGGAGTGGCAATCCCAATGTGCGGTAGACAATCGGGGCAGATCCCATGCCCCACTCCGCAGCCTGACGTAACGAGGTAATTGCGTTACTGACTCGCTCAACAGCAGCTCGCAGCACGGGCGATGTCTTGTCGATGTCACCAGATTTCAAAGGAGTTACGATGCTGCGGTTCCCGCCTTTCACGGGAAATGCAGTGTCCGCAGCAACGCACACACCAGGGGCCAAAACGCCTGGCTTCCTTAACAGTTCGATGAGTGGTCGACTCATTTCTCCATCGTTCCAGGAGCCAGGAAAGTTGTGCTTCCCCCAAACGAGTGTGCCATCAACTCCGTAAAGCAATACGCCAGTGACATAAACCGAATGCAACCAACCTATTAAAATGGGGCATTTGAAATTTGTGAGAAATTGACATTTCGCATATGTGATAATGTTGGCTAAACTTGAAGCTACCGTTGTAAAATGCGTTGTGAACATCTCTGTTGCTGGGTTCCTGTATAGGGTAGTCCTTTCCATCGAGGAAGAAGGCAATCCGAGGTGCGTCAGGCTCACGAGCAGTGCAGGCATCGGCCTAATCAATCTGCGTCGCATGGTCGGGAAAGCGGATCGAGGCTTCGGGTATGGACTTGAGTGCCCTGAGAAGAGCGCATTCGGCATTGAGCAGCACTCGCGAAAGTGTCGTGGGTGGCATGCCAAACAGCTCACAAATAGTCTTGTGTTCAACGGGGGCGGTGTATACGTGCAACAGGCATGCGAGGACAACGTGCTTTTCCTCACAGCGAGGAGGTCTACCACGTCGATCTGACGTTCATTAATTGATTGCCATTAAATGATTGCCATTAAATGATTGTCAATCTCTAAATGAATGTTCTACCTGGTCCAGATTTTACGATATAGTGTTTGGAAAATACGCCCAGAAGGCGCTCAAAAGATACAACATCAAGCCATGGCACGCAATGTACATGAGTAAATGCGATCGCCATGAAGCTGCGATCGCATTTACTCATGTACATTGCGTGCCATGGCATCTCAGTCGGTGTGACGAGTGCAGTCGATAGAATCTAGAGTAGTGTGTGTGAGAACAATGTGCATTTGTGCCTTAAGACCATATTGCAAGTCCGTATTTGCATACGCAGGCGTAACATGAGAGCCAGCAGAAGCTGGTTGCGGTGTATCGTACGCTGACGATGCCTTAGGCGAGCCCTGAGAAACCCCAGAGGCGACATGCAGCTCCTCGGTGACAAACAATGGTTCAGAGTCTCCCAGTATAAAGAGGCGGCCATGACATGGGCAAAGAAAGTCAGACATCATAATTGAGCGCCCACGTCTCTTTTTTGGGTGATCTGGATGGGCCGTATTCGTCCAAACTATTCCCCCGCCGTCGTCGTTGGCGTAAAAGATGGATTCGTGTGAGTCACCCACACAACCTGCTTCTGTGAGACGTCATTGGGAGACTCCAATATGTCCATGGCCTCCCCTGAAAATGATGCCATTCGCTCGCTAAGACTCAGCCATGTCGAGCAGAAAACCTTTTGGTATTCCACAATATCTTGTCGTTCATGGCCATCGACATAAACATCCTTCATCCACGAGCCGAACTTGTTCCCCGCATGTACCATCCATCACCGGGCCGTGGCTTCTGACACAGTTCATTTCATCGCACCTTAATATTATTGCGAAGTAGAATATACTTTGGGAATAACTTTCGCATTACCTGTGAGCTCGGGGAGGATAGATTCATTGAGGTGTAATCGAAAGTTGTGAGGAGTGCGCATTGAAGGCCAAAATTTAACCACGACCATTGCCCACACTTACTCAAAAAATCCTCGTCGTGAATTAGGGACGGCGTCTTCTGGTGCCGACCTCGGCTAGAGCTCGGAAGGCAACCAAAGCGTTGATATGACTTACACCAATTCAACACCGTGCGTTGTCCGAGGTGGAATGCGGTAGGCAGTAAGGTGACCGCAGCAGCACAAGCGTTACGTCAAGTTGGGCCAGACAAACGACACTCAAAGAACATTCCCATCCACGCTTTTTGAAGTATCCACGCAAATACGACTCCTGATTGGCTAAAACGTGAATTTTTCCGGATAACACAAACAGCAAAAGCAGGGACGCCTGAGTTGAAGCAGGGATGATTCATCCCTGCTTTTGAGTGTCCGTTCCTGCTTTTGCACGTTTTCGATAGAAATTAAGAAATATGTTTGATATATTTTCAGAATCCTCGAAAATAGTTCGGATAACATCCCTGCCTTAAAGCGTGGATGGTTTTTCACAGACCAGCCCCTTAGGGGCTGGTCTGTGAAGCCCCTCTATGGATCTTATGGCTTTGAATGCGTGGTTTCCATATATCCTAGACGTAATAGTCACTAAGAACGACCCCATATTTTTGTATTATTTAGCTGACTTGCACCATACGCCCTTTGAGTTAAGATCCTGATGCACTACCACTGAGCTAATGTTACATTAAAGAACTATATGAAAACCATTCCTTAATAGATTCGATAGTATAGAAGTCAGTTCCCGATATTTCATGCCGCGGACCAAGTTGTGAAGTCATGGTCAAGGCATGCTTCATTGCAGCGCAAGAAGCTAAAGAGCGAACCAACGAACACTGGAGTGCAGCAATATCAAGTCTAATGAGTTAATCATCAAACTTATTTGCCCAATGGGTACTAGTCTTCTTCCTTGTGGTCGAGGTCGCCCCTCGCAGTGCTGCATACAACCTGATGCAATGGCCCCTTTGCACTGGCTTCCGGCATTTGGAGATGACTGGTGGCTAGGACCCGGCGCTTGTGAACAAATGTCCACAGAGTTCGACGCATGTATGATCCGACATGGGCCTATCTCCACCGATATCGTTCGCTGCGCAAATAGTGCGATCACTGTACACAGTCGCCGCCAAACGTTGCACTGTTTAAACCGCTGTAATGTCAAGTTACCTCTACAACATAACATCAGAGACTGGTATCGATGATTATGTAAGTGAAAGTTCTAAATGGTACCTCTTCCCAGTCAGAATCCAAAACGATACTAATGGATGGGCTTGAACAGTCTTCAAGCCGACGTTCATTTGCACAGTCTTGTGGTTACAATTGGCGACAAAGATCGCGCATGTGGGGGGAGCAGTGTTCATGTAGGTCGTGAATGGTTGACCCATCCTCTGAGGACCCCCTTGGGAACAGCTCAACATGCGCGATCGACATCGACAGCCATTGCCACGCTACCACGCTTGCGTGCGCTATAGGTAGTAGGAGGGTATCCTAGAGCGTCAACTCGGAGGCAAAATATAATATAATAATATATTTATTAGAAATATATATATATAAATATTTTAATAATTTCAAAAATGGACCAAGACTCATAATGTCCCCAATCGGTGGAAGTTGAAAATGATAAAACGGAGCATGCAACAGTTGGGCAAATTGGGATTTACCTCGTCCCACGTAGTTTAAACATTTTGGGGACTTTCCCTTTGTGGGGGAAAGTCCCCAAAATGTTTAAACTACGTGGGACATCTGTTTTGGCCCCCCTGCCGATTGCGGCTTCGCGACCCGCTTGATATCACATATCCGATACGTAGCATTTTATCCTAGATTCATGTATACATAGAGGTTTTTTTCATTTATAGACCGGGTTGGCGCCCAACCCGGGGAAGGATGATGGTCGAGCCCCTTCCCACGTTTTCCACCGGATGCTAAGGGTGAGTCGAGGTAATTGGAAGAGCATAGTCCCCCCTCAATTGATGTGTCCAATTGAGGTCCATGGGATTTACCTGTCGAATCCTATGTAATGCCTACATTCGGATAACCTTAATGTAATGAATGCTACAAGTGGGCTAAATCCTCAACGTTTTTCACTTTTAATTTGCATGGTATTCAGCTTTCCTTAACGATTTTCCTGTCTTGCCTCGTTGTCCTTGTAAGTGGCTGTGTTATGTCATGGCCATGGAGTCCAACATACCGACAAGTTGCAAAAGCGTCACCCAGGGCGCAGGTACAAAGATAGATTTAACATTATTACCAACAGTACGTATGATTGGGCTTTTTGGCGAAATTAATCGGATGCTGGGTGAAAATATATTGACGAAAGCTGAAAATATACGATAGTTGGTGATGGTGAAATATAAACATAAAGTTTGAGATTGCCACGAAATTAAATGGAGGTAATGAAATATATCGGTGGTCTCGTGAAATATACTGCAAGCTAAGCGAATTATAGTGAAAAACCGCTGAAATTAACCGCAAAAAAGTGTAGTAATATGAATCCACCGTACTGCAAGTGCTACTTCAATATGTATCCTGCCTCCTTTGAAAGTGCGATACTGCGGGTTTTCTGGCAAGAATAGCGGCCACGCTGTTGGATATTTATGACTGACTCGTCCATCCTAGCGGGTTAATGATAAGAGCTGGATGTACTGGTATGTATGTATGTTGTACACATCCCAACCATCCATTTGGTTACCTTGGTACTTGGTTTGCTACCCTATTAATAGTGCAATCACAGTCTGACGTAAAGATTGGATTGACTTGGCTCTAAATGAACGACCATTCATTTTCCAATTTCCATCATGAAGTTCGCACTCCTTCTCACTTTCACCGTGGCCGTCGCTGCCTTGGCTCAAGACCAACGCTTGGGGCGATGAGGCCCCTGACGACGGTTTCGAAATCGTCGGGGGCCAGGAAGCCCAATTTGGCAGACACCGTTATGTGGTTGGGATCAAGAAGTCGCCCGTTGGTGAGACCTTTTGCGGCGGCAGTCTGATCGCCCCCAACGTCGTTTTGACAGCGGCGCATTGTTTGGACGGTGTTGTACCTTCTGTGGTCGTGGGCACGCACTATTTAACCGGTTTTGCCGACGGGGAACTGGCCAATGTCACCGAGAAAATCAAACACCCCAATGGCACCGACGTGGGCATCATAATCTTGGACCACAACATCTCGATCACCCAACCTGTTGCGGTGTCGTTTGAATTCGTTCCGGCGGACGTGCTCACTTGGGTACGCGGCTGGGGAAACATCTGGCATAATGGCCCCCCATCTCGAGTGCTCAAGGAGGTCAGCGTCACGACATGGAACAACACCAGGACCTCGGCAGCGCTCAACCGCTACAGGCGAGTGACTGATACGATGTTGGGTGCAGGGGTGGAAGGAGAAAACTCCTGTCACGGTGACTCTGGGGGACCACTGACCATCGAACAAACGGTGCCGTGCAATTGGTGGGGGTGGTCAGCTGGGACTTTGAATGTGGTCTGCTCGGCACGCCAGGTATCTATGAACGCGTCAGCGCTGCTCGTGCCTTCATTGAACCGTACTTGCCGAATTAAGTCAAGCTTGCGCGTGCCATAATGAACGCGACATGGCCGACATATACAACCCACTTGGTTGAACATACAACCGACTTGGTTATGAAAGGCCAAACTCGCTCGTGCAGTGTTTGTGGTAAATATCGTTAATTTGATGAATAACCATTATGGTGCAGTACCTGAACCATTCTGTCAGTGGAAGATCTCTTTCTGTCTGTGGAAGATATCTACATTAGTATGGTCGTTGCAATCTCTTGCATCATTGACAAACTATAGTAACAGGAAGAACGCGTACTAGTAACGATCTCTGCACGAAACGTATGCTGGGATTCATATTGTAGTGAATCAATCCACCGTTACTTTGATGTGGGTCCCTTTGAAATTGCGATACAGTTGCGGGTTTTTCTGGCAAGAATGTCAGCCACACTGTTGGATACTATGTACTCCGAGGTATTTATGACTCCAAGAGATGATATATATATACAGACAACGATCTCTCCATCCAGCAAAGATGCCATAGTGCGATGCCCCCCATTACCGCTGATTCTAGAGCACGACATCACCGCCGCCGTCGTTGGGATTGATCTTCGATGGTCGCTGGCTGCCGTTGTGTTTATTCTAAACTGGAGCGACATGGAGAATGAATCGACACAACCAAATGTACACAAGAATCTGCAAAAGGGTTTACAGTTGTTAGCCATTCAGATTGCCGGAATCAACGTCGAAGTAGTGTGCGGTTTCAATTAGTGTGCTACCAATCACCACAGGACACCTGTTTACATACAAACTTCTGTACAAAGAATCAATCGATAGATTTGGCGATTCTGCACAAAAGTCCAAATTTTGGGTAAAAGGACAATATCGACCTGTTCTTCCAGCTACCATTTACAACCGCAGAGGTCCACTCAGAAAAACCGCATAATTCTCATATCCGGTTTAGTGTTCCGATACCTTAGTGGAGATACTGAGTACTTTAGTGAATAGTAGTCAGTAGATCCCTCGTGGCGTGTTTAATCTCACTAACGTCAGTGTTATATTTGCTACCTTGACGAAGGTCCCGTGGCCGAAAGCCGAGAAGAAGCGGGAGACAAACAGGATTTCAAGTGTAATTGGAAGTACATCTGCAACTACACCTCAGATATGATGTCATTCTGCTTCTTCCAAAGTTTAGCTACGATACCTACGATACCTACATACTACTATATGTATATCGTGTCAAGAAGGGGCACTTTGGTTTGGCCTTTTTCGCCGAGGTTCGGTCACCTACGGATAATGTCCGGTAATCCGGAATTATCATATAGTGTTCTTTCTCTGTAGAAGCCGGACTGTTTATGCCCAATCATAATTCAGCTAAACAGTCCGTTAATGATCATCTTTGGTTTTGCCCTTGACCACACAAGTGTTCTTCGTCGTCGTTCCTCCTCAGTGCTACCCCCTACATCGTCCCTCTTGACAGGTTATGAGCCTCCTCCCTTCCTCTGTGCAGTCCTTCGTGGGCACCCCACTCGACGACCTCCGGCATCTGGCCTACACCTTGTGGAAGACGGACTTACTCTGTCGGCGACCGATCGCGATGCACGTCTCGCTGAGGTCAAGGTGCACACGACCACCATGCAACGTGAGGTCATTGCCAGTGAGGCGACCAAGAAACTGGCGAATCAACGCTCTGGGGCACACACCTTCTTGGTCTCAGCCATTTCTAGCAACCTTTGGCGCCTCTATTAGGACACTACGTGTCCATTCGAGGTCTTTGAGTACATTTTGAGTCGAACCCCATGGACAACAACCCCACGGTCATTGCCAGCTATCTGAGCACTCTCAAGTTCACCGATGAGAGTTGCATTGACACTCTCTTGACCTGGTCAAGCGCTACAGTGTGTCTATGACGCTGCCGTCGTCCAATCCTCTGGATCCATCGCCGATCTCGTCCGTCGACTATCACAACCATATCTGGAATTACTACGCTCTGTGTGCGTTGTCCGACAACTTTATTGGTGACAAGGAATTGTGGGAAATCGTGACGAACTCCGTGGCCACCGCGCGCGCCGCCAATTAGTCCGTTGTTGTTGCTGACGTTTGGGCCTCTCTTCGGCGTATTATTTCGAACCGCCTGCAACGAGCGTCTGCTCTGGGTGACAACGGTACTGCCGCTACCCTTCAAACACGAACCCAGCTTGCAGCTCTCACGCATGCCGTTGCGACCCCTGCACCACCACCCCAACCAATTACGCAAGCCGATGGCTCAGTTCATGTTATGAACGCTTTCACTATCCCGAGCTATGCTCACCGTGTTTATATCAAGTCCTGCTTCTACTGCGGCGATACGAATCACACGCTTCCTGCGTGTCCCACTCTCAAGACGGACTATGCCCGCAACACCATGCGTCCTGGCTTTGATCGCACTGTCTTTGACAAGCATGGCTCTGCCTCTCAAAAGAAAAGAAAACGCGACTATGTTGCTCTGACACGTCCTATCGAACGTCCTCGTGACGACCGCGATGATCGCGATGAGCCTAGTGGCAACCATGGCTCCAATAGCCACCATGGATGGGGACCAAGTTTCTCTAGTGGTCCTGGAAATGGCGGGTGGAACAACAATCGTGGCAACAGCCCTGACAAAAATCGTGACCGCGATCGCAGCCGTGATCGACAACGTGACCAAGGCTACGGCCGCACTCATCGTGGGGGCTTTATGACCAGGCTGGCACTGCTGCTCGTGCAGCCGCTCGTCCATTTATCCATGAAGGCAATCGCCTCAATGGCTTTGCCAACACCCACATCTTATCCCACCACTTTGTGCCTCCCTCCACTCTCAACCGGGTTCTCCAACGCCCCAACCCACCATCGGTTCTATCAAAGGTGTTTCAACCGGGCTCTGCCCCACTCTGCGATGTTTTTGCATCACCGCCCCATGAACCTCCGCTTATTGCGGCTTCTACCCTCGCTCCCATAACTGATGCACCGGTCGAGCTCCCCGACCACTACCCATCTCCTGTGGATGCCGGCGATTTAGACTTCGCTTAAGTCCCTTCTGCCGAGGTACTTATTATCGAACGTTTGCCCCTCTACCCACCACGTCCACTGTTCCAAATTCCCACAAACCCAACCAAAGTGGATCTTCCACTGTTCCCACCCAGTGCCTTCTCGGCCACACGCAGTGATATTACCACAGCGGCGTCGGAAACACCGATAAAGGTGGTTCTCCAATTGCCCCCAAGATGTGTGGACGGTGTCCGTCCCCATCCCTCATTCCAAGTTGTTGGTGGACAAGGCATTTTTGCCCTTCATGTGGACCTACGCTACTGTGAAAGCTACCCCGGTGATCCGCCTCTACCAATGTCGGTGACTTATCGTCCAAATGGCTTTCCCATTCTCCGCAAACATTGGATTATTGACTCCGGCGCCTCTGCCTCATGCACCCCCAACCGAGATTATTTCTCCAATTATGTTCCTTGCGCACTGTCTCTTACAGTCGGGAACGGCGCCCAACTTCCCATCCTTGGCTATGACCCTCGTTCTTTGGCCGTGGACATGTCGTCCCGTGACCAAGCCGACAATATTCCTCCATGCGCTCTACGCCTCACCTTTGGTCTACATTGCCCTGACTACAGTTCAACTTGTTCTCAGTTCGCCAAGCAACCGATGAGGGCATCTCCGTCCGTTTTACGACTCTCGACATGTGCGAAATTACCACCTCTCTTGGTGATGTGCTTCGTGCACCTAACAACGCCATGGGTTAATACTCCTTTCCCTGCCAGCCCAAATGCGAGCCCTCAACCGATCCGCACCGTGGCGATATATCCACCCGGGCCAAATGGCCATGCTTACTGGCATGATGGCCACTTTTGAGACCGCTCTGCGGAAATTCTCCTCGACCTACAGTGGATTTTCCACTTTTAACGATCAATTGCACATGTTTTCATATTCGTCTGTGTTGCGCTATGCGCCAATCAGTCAACGACCATCTATGGTCTCCAAGCCAACTCCGTTCTACCCAATTACTCCAGACTCTGTCTCGATGAGTGTAGCCCAGGCTATGCTTGGTTCACACACTTCCACAACCTGTCTATGACACCACTACTGTTTCAACCGACTGCCTAACTAGCCTCGTGGCTGACTCCAAGCTATCGGCAGCTAGCCTTGCACGCCTCTGGCACCGCCGTCTCGGCCATCTAGGCGTTGATGCCTTCAACCAAATGACAAAGACAAACCCCGAGCTCATGCCCTTCAAGTCCAAGCACCTTCGTGGTCAACTATGTGAGACTTGTGCTTATGCCAAGTCCAAACGCAGTCCTTTTGACTCATCTGCGGTCTTCCGCGCAACCTCCTACCTAGCCCTTGAACACTCTGATGTTTGGGTCCAAGCCCGATTTTGTCGGCGGGTGGCGCTGCCTACTTTGTCGTATTTATCGACAACTACTCCCGCTTTATGTGGACCTATCCCATGCGTTTTCGCAAAGATCTCTATGAGACCTACGAATTATTTCGTACGGACGCCATGTCCATTTTTAAACATGATGTTTGTGAGCTGCGCCACTCATCACCCATGGACATCGGCACCCTTGAAAGCGACAACGCAAAAGAGTTCGAGAAACTCGGGCGCATAATCAAGCCCAAGTACAACACTAGTGTGGCATTCTCCAACGCTTACACTCCCCAAGCAAACGCTGTTACCGAACGCCGTATCGGCATTGTTGTCCAAAAGATGCGAGCTATGCTCATTGAAGGGGCTCTGCCCAAGTTCCTATGGGATCTTGCCCTTGATTATGCCTCATGGCTCATCAAACTCCCTCCTTCGGTATCCAACAAAGGTGTTTCACCCTACCACGTCGTCTTTAAACGACACCCAACTTTGGGTCACATCAAAACCTTTGGTTGCACGGCGTTTGTGCACATTCAACGTGCCGCGCAATCATCCAAACTTGATCCCTGTGCCGTCAAGGCCATGTTTGTGGGTCTCCCACATGATCGCAAGGGTTATACCCTCATGCATTTGCACTCTCATTTATCGATTTATTCTCGTGACATCACCTTCTGGGAGTC